ACAGCACATCAGTAGGATATAGAAGACTGGAATGTTGGGAGCCATTCTATGTAATTTTGGGGAAAAAATCATTTCACAATTAAATTATGATTAGGGCTGTCTGAGGCCCCAATAGTCCTGTGATGCTGTGATGCTCAAGGGCAAGATTACATCAGCCGAAGACATCCTAGGTCTTTGAGAACTGAGTAGTAATACAAAAAGAGAAAGGTTTTACCTGGGGAGGGATCTATTCCTTAACAGTTTAACTCATCCCACCTCCTAATCAACATAAGCTCCTCATCTACCTAAAATTCTCATTAGCATAAAGTCTCTATCATGGCAGGATTACCACCACCCTCCAAGTCATCTGATACTCCCTCCAACTATAAGATCCTTATGAATTTAGGACTATCTTCACCCCCTGAGTCATCTGATATTCCCTACGAACCCAATAAATAGTGGCAAGCTTGGAGAGTCTTTGTCTGTGCCGGCTCAGAGGCACTGATCTCCTGGCCCCCCCAATATACTTTGAAATTATGCGAGTCTCTATTGTCTTTTTTTCTTTAGCCCTTTTCATCCCCCTTTCTAGGTGGTCGGAGGATTGATTGACCTCCAATAATAAAATAATACTATTGACCAGTTTGACTTAATTCACATTTTAAAAACATTCCACACAACATCAGTGTACATATTCTTTCCAAGTGCACACAGAAAAATTTCAAAAAGGGACCACTTTCCAGACTATAAAATAAGCCCCCTTGGGCCGGAGATTTAGCTCAGTGGTTCCACCGCCTGCCTCACAAGTGAAAGGACCGGAGTTCCATCCCCAGTTCCAAAAAAAAAATTAAAATAAGCCCTAAGAAGTTTTCAAAGATTCAAATTAGACAAAGTGTGTTTTCTGACTATGGTGGAATTAAACTAGATATTATAACAGAAAGATAGCTGAGAAATATTCAATTATTTTGGAAAAAATGATATACTTTTAAATAACATGGGTCAAAGAAGAATCAAAAGAGAAATTAGGAAAATTTTGGAACTAAGTGAAAACTTCTCATGTCAAAATTTGTGAGATTTATCTAAAACACATTTGTAGGGAAATTTAGAGATCTAAACACATATATTAGAAAATAAGAGAGGTCTTGAACCAAAGACCTCAAATTCCACATTATACAACTGGAAGAACCAAATTGAATCCAAACTAAAAAGAATGTAAATAATAAAGATGACAAAAGTAACAAAATATAAAACAGAAAAACAATAGAGAAAAATCAATGAAAATAAAATCTAATTCTTTGAGAAAATCAATAACATTGATAGACCCCCTAGCAAGACTGATACAGAAAATGAGAGGGCAAAATTTACCAAAATCATGAATGAGAGAGGTGACATCACTACAGATTCTACACATATTAGAAGTATTATTACAGGGCCAGGGATTTAGCTCAGTGTCACCACCCCTGCCTTGCAAGCTCAAGGTCCTGAGTTCAATCCCCAGTACCACACACAAAAAAGAATTACTTTATGCCAGTAAACTTTATCAACTTAGAGGAAATAGAAATTTTGTTTCATAGACATGAGTTACAAAAGTTTATTAAAGATGAACAAAAGAAAATTTTATTAAAGATGAAATAGATAATCTGAATAGTTCTATATTAATTAAAGAAATTGAATTAGTGTTCAAAATTCTTCCCATAAAAAGCCAGGTATGGTGGCACTATCTGGAAGGCTGAGGCAGGGGAATTTTAAGTTTGAGACCAGTGCAAACAATTTTGCCAGACCTTGTCTCCTAAAAAAATTTAAAAAAAATTTTATTCATTAAGTTTATTGGCACTTTTTTTTTCTTGGTACTGGGGCTGGAACTCAGGATCTTGTGCTTGCGCGGCAGGCATGTCACTACAGAGCTAAATTCCCAGACCAGGTACATTTTATGTATACAATATGAAGACATGCGTCATTGGCAATTGTACCTGTACATGGTATATCTTGGTTCTTATTTTTTCCCCATTCCTCTGCCTTCCCTTCAACCCCTTTGCCCCTCCCTATTTACAAAGACTTTGTTTCTGTTTTTTCCTTTTCTCATATTTTTTCCTTTCCCTTCTTTCCTTTCCCCTCCCCCTCCCCCTCCCCACACTTCCCCTCCTTCTCCTTTGGACCTTTTCTTCCTGTTTCACATTATCTATTATATATTTTCACCAGGGATTTAGCTCAGTGGTTTTGCAGCCTGCTGCACAAGCCCCAAGGACCTCAGTTCGATTCCCTGGTACCAAAAAAAAAAAATATATATATATATATATATATAGGTCCTCATTTACATTTTCAGTTTCTCACACCAGAGAAACTATTCGGTATTTACACATGTGTGTCCTATTTATTTCACTTAAAGAGTATGGCCTCAGTGTGCATCCATTTAGCTATAAATGTCTCTAGTTATCATTCTTTTTATTTATTTATTTTTTTGGTACCGGGGATTGAACTTGGGTCCTTAAGGTTGTGGGGCAGGTGGCGGAAACACTGAGCTAAATCCCTGGCCCTGGTTTATCATTCTTTATGGCCGAGTAGTACTCTATTTTGTAAAAAAAAAAAAAGAAAAAGAAAAAGAAAAAAGAAAAACCACATCTTTATTCAGTCATGACGGGCATTTGGGCTATTTCCATGCTTTAGCTATTACAAACTGTGCCACTATAAAACTGGGTGTGCATATATCACTGTGGTATGATGCTTTTAATTCTTTTGGGAAGATCCCCAGCAAGGAAATAGCTGGGACAAATGGGACCTCTAGTCCTAGTTCTTTGAGGTGTCTCCATACTGATTTCCACAGTGGTTGCACCAGTTTGCACTCTCACCAGCAATGGAGCAGGGTTCCTTTTTCCCCACAGCCCCACCAGCATTTGTTATTGGTTGATTTCTTTTCTTTTCTTTTTTGGTATGGGGATTGAACTCAGGATCTTGTGCTTGTGAGGCAGGCAGCGGTGCCACTGAGCTAAATCCCCAGCTCAATTTTCTTGATAGCAGCCATTCTTTCTGGAGTGAGGTGGAATTTCAGTGTTTTTCATTTGGATCTCTAACCAAAATTTTTTTTTTTTTTTTTTTTTGTACCAGGGATCGAACTTGGGTCCTTGTGCTTAAAAATTTTTTTTTAAGGGCTGGGGATGCAACTCAGAGGTATAATGCTTGCTTAATATGGATGCGGTCCTAGGTTCAATCCCCAGTACTGTGAAAAACTAAATAAACAAGCAAGCAAATAAGAAATAACTTCCCATAAAGACAACTTCAGTTCTAAATTGTGAATTCTGTAAAAGAGTTAGGGAACAAACAATAGTGATTTCACACACAGACATTTCAAGTAAATAGAAAAAGAAGAAATACATCTCAACTTCTTCTATGAGATCCGCATTAATCTGACACCAAATCCAGACAAAAGACATAACAAGAAAACTGTAGACCAAAATTCCTCATGAGTATAAGTGCAATAACCATTTAGAAAATTTTAGCAAATGGAACCCAACAATATGTAAGAAAGATAACATCATAAACTTATCCTGGGAATGGAAGGTTAGTTTAATAATGAAAGTCAGTCATCATAATTCACCATATTAATAGACTTCAATTTACATGGATACCTCACTAGATGCAGAAAAAGACTGACAGAATCCAAGATCGACTTGTGATTTTATGTATTTAGTTTTAATTTCTGATTTTAAAATAAACTCAACTGTCAACAATTTTCTTCAGTTTGAGAGAGGGCATCTATGAAAACCTAAAGCTAAACTCATACTTAATGGTAGACTATATACTTTTCCTCTAGGATGGTGAACAAAGCAAGATGTCCATTGTTACTATTTTTATTTAATATTGTAGTGATTCTAGCCAGTGAAATAAGGCAACAGGTGGGCATGGTGGTACACACCTAGAATACCAGCACTCAGGAGGCTGAGGTAGGAGGATTGTTTTGAGTTCGAGGCCATCCTGGGCTACATAGTGAGTTTAAATCAGCCTTAACTACATGGCAAGACCCTGTCTCAAAAAACAGAAACAAAAACAAAACAAACAAACAAAAAAATCTCAGGGCCTGGGATTTAGCTCAGTGGTACTGCACCTGCCTTCCAAGTGCAAGGTCCTGAGTTCAATCCCCAGTACCAGAAAAAAACCCCAAACCTCCCAAAACATATAACAAGAACAACAAAAAAGAAATAAGGCAAGAAAAAAATACAAAATAAATCAATTGAACACTAGGTAAAACTGTTTTTATCCTCAGCAACATAATTATCTATGTAGAAAATTCTAGGGGCTGGGGATTTAGCTCAGTAGTTTCACCGACTCCTGCACAAGCTCAAGGAGCCGAGTTCAATCCCCAGTACCAAAAAAAATTAAATAAATAAATAAAGAGAAAATTCTATGAAATCTACAAAAAAAATACAGAACTAATAAATGAGTTAAGCAATGTGGCAGGATAAAAGATCAATGCAAAAACTGTATTTCTAGTGAGTTTCAACAAATAGTTGGAAATTTAAATTACATAAATAATAGCATTTACAATAGTATAAAATGTCAATTATTTAGAGATAAGCTTACTAAAAAAACATTGCTAATATAAATAAAAGAAGACCTTGTGTTCATGAATGGAAGACTTAATATTGTTAAGATGTCAGTCATTCCCAAATAGATCCATAGATTCAAAACAATCTTAGTCAAGATTCAAATAGGCCTTGTTCCCCCAGAAATCAGCAAACTTATTTTTACTTTCTTTTTCTTTGGTACCGGGGATCGAACTTGGGTCCTTTCGCTTGCGAGGCAGGCGGGAAAACCACTGAGCTAGATCCCCGGCCCTAGCAAACTTATTTTAAGTCAAACTTTTTAGAATTCATATTTTTTAGAAGACAAAACAAAACTAAACTAAAAGACTTATGCTAACAGAACAACAGTAATGAAGATAATGTGGAATTAGTATAAAGAGAGACAGATAGATCAACAGAAAAGGATAGAGTCTCCAAAATAGACCCACAAACACATGGTCAACTGACCTTCAATCGAAGCGCCGGGGATTTACCTCAGTGGTTCCACCATCTGCATCACAAGCACAAGGTCCTGAGTTTGATCTCTGGTACCAAAAAAAAAAAAAAAAAAGAAAAAGAAAGAAAGAAAAGAAAAGCACAACCTGTAATTAATTACACAATCAAATTAAGAACTTCTGCTTACAAGAGACTCTAAGGGGATAAAATATTTGGAGAAAATTTCTGCCAATCATATATCTGTTTCTAGAATATATAAAGCACTTTTAAAATTCAACAATCGAGAACACAAAGCAAAATTCCATTTAAAAAATTGACAAAAGACTTGAAAGATTTCACCAAAAAAGATAGAAAGACTGTGCCTGCCTAGCAAGCACAAGGTACTGAGTTTGATCCCCAGTACCAAAAAAGAAAAAAAGATACAAAGATGGCTAATGCACTCATGAAAAGATTTTTCAAGATCAATAGTCATTAGGGAAATTTAAATTAATATCACAATGGAGATAGCACTACATATCTATTAGAGAGGTTAAAATTAAAAATACTGGGCCGGGGATTTAGCTCAGTGGTTTCGCGCAAGCACAAGGACCCGAGTTTGATCCCCAGTACCAAAAAAAAATAAAATAAAATAAAAATACTAATAGTATTTACTGTTAGAGAGGGTGTGGAGTAACTGGAACTCACACCTTTCTGGTGAATGAACAGATGGTACAGACTTTGAAAAACAGTCTGGTAGGTTTTTTTATTTTTATTTTATTTTGGTACCAGGGATCAAACCTGGGACCTTGCGCTTATGAGGCAGGCGGGGGAACCACTGAGCTAAATCCCCAGCCCTGGCAGTTTTTTTAAGAGTTAAAAATACACTTATCCACTTCTAGGTTTTTAACCTTGAGAAATAAAAACTTGCATGCCCATATCTGTACATGAATGTTTTGGAAGCATTATTTATAATTGCCCTAAACAAGAAATCAACAAAATGTTCTTCTACTGTAGTTCACCCATACAATGGAATACTACTCTGAGATAAAAAGGCCAAACTTTTTTCTTTGGTACCAGGGATGAAACTCAGGTCCTTGCACTTTCGAGGCAGGCAGTGGAACCACTGAGCTAAATCCCCGGCCCCAAGGACAAACTATTAATACATGCAACAACATGGAGGAATCTCAGAACAATTACACCCAGTGAAAGAACCCAGACACTCCATCCCAAAGGTACACACCATAAATTTCCATTTAAATAAAATTCTAGAAGATGCAAACTAATCAATAGTGGCAGAAAGCAGGTCAGTGATTGCAGGATTGGGGGATGGATCACAAAAGGACATGAGGAGATTTTAGAGGTAGTTAGCTTGATTGTGGTAATGGTTTTATAGATATACATGTCAAAACTCATTCAATTGTACAATGAGGTAAATATATATGGCATAGTATATGCCAATTTTTCTCAAAGAAGCAGTTTTAAAAAATATTATCCAGGTTTTTCTAATGTACAGCTAAGTTTGAGGACCCCTGGGGCATACATGTATAACTACCTTAAATCTTCAGCTTTTGGCTTACAGGTTGAGCTATCATTAACCCACAGAGTTTTCTATTGCTCAGATTCCAGTACGGTTACAAATATGAAACTTACAGGAGCTACAGAATGAGCATACAAATCATCTAAAAATTTCATTTTAGTAATTCCAGGGCATTCAGTTTAAGCCACAGAGAAGGATAGATAAAAATTACTAATTGGAAATGAAATACAGCAAGAGGCTCAAGACTTTAAACTTCCAGAGCAATAAATTATCCACAGTGAAGAGACAATTTTGGATCTGATAATTTGGTGAAATTACTCCTCCCTTGTCTCATAGATTCAGCTTCTATACTACTCTTTGTTATTTGAACCCACTCCATTTTTTGCTTCTCTTTCCTTTGACCTATCAGCAGGGCAGCAAGAATAGGTATTTGAATATATTGAAAAAGTTGTTAGCTTTGTTATATTGTACAAAACTTCCTTAAATAAGTGTACTTCCCCTTTCTTCTCTCTGTGACTCAAACAGGACCCTCTGTAAAGGACCTGATTTTGTCTGAATGAGACTGGTCTATCTGTTGTGTTCAGTTTTGCTCAGAAGCAAGGGAGTGACTTAGTATGGCATGTTTGCATATTTTACCCTTCAGTGTGCATGTGAATCACCAGGTGATCCTGTCAAAATGCAGGTTATGAGTCAATAAGGGTGAAGCAGACCTAATATTCTGCATTTTTCATAGGCTTCTCCCTGTTGATGCCCATGCTGCCAGTGGAGTTGCAAGGCAAATGATCTTTCAAAGTCCTTTCATCCCAGGGACATTGTGACACAACAGTGACCCTTATAGAAAAGAGGTCATTCAAGTCAAAAAGAGGAACATTGTGCTAGCATTGCCTTGGATTACACTCTCCAAGTTTTGACCTCCTACCTTATATAAATGTTTACATAGTACATATGGAATGGAGAAGGATTCACTTGCTGGGCATAGATCAGAATGTTTAAGAAATATTGTTGGCTGGATTTTTCTTAGCATTTTCTGGAAAGAATTTGTCATAGAATGATTTTGAGAGTTGTGTTCAGTTAACCCTATTTAAGCTACCTTATTACTGTTGTATCCAGTTACCTCTTGCAGGGGCTCTATTTTCAAAAGCATTGTGATATTGAGGGATGAAACTCTTGTTCAGCAGTATACTTCTTAGGTGATGTTTTTATGACAAATGGGCTGATTTCTCTCCTAGATAGTGAGAGGATTAGACTGCATGTCCTGACTCCTCCTCTTTCTGAAGCAAAGATAGCACTGGAAGTAGCCGCAGTTGCTTCTAATGATTTAGGGTTATAGTGAAATCTCTTGGAATGACTTTCAGGGCAGTGTTGAGGCAATGACCATGAATTTTGCCAGGGACTCTGGCTGAAGTGACTGGTTGCGTCTTTCTCACCCACTGCTTACTTCACTCTCTGCTTTGTAAATCAAGCTGCATGATTTTTTCCAAATCAAATACTTGATTTTTTGGAAATGAATAGAGTAACTTAATTTTCCTCTAAAACTGACGCAGTTAAACAAATACTTTTCAAATATATGTGAATTTGTAATGTAACAAAGCACCCTTGAGCTTAAAACAGGCTTGTCTATATTTTCTGTAAAATTCTTATTATGGGTAATTTTCCTTCTCAGTTTACAGTTTACCTTGCTATTTAAATTAGATCATCATGGTTTTCAATGAAAATAACTGAGAAAAAGTCATCTATAAAGACTAAAAGTCAATCCATATTCATAGCTTTGCATTCCTGTCCAGGAGTCCTTAGTAAGTGATTACAAGAGCAATTTTCTATCATTCAAGCCCATTTTGTGCAGAAGAATTTAAATCACCACTGGAATGAATGTGGTAATGTGAGTAGTTCTGTCAACAATATGTGACAGGAGGGAGGGGAGTATCGAAGCTGGGCTGTCTGGGCTATGGTTTTGGATGAGGTTCGGGATTTTTGTTGTTGCCAGAAAACTCAAAGTTCAAAGAGAGTAGAAGAGCATATTGATTAACTCTGGACTGGTCAAAGACGAGATTTATATCTGAATTTAACTAATGTTTTACACATGGTCTCCTTTGTACTTAAAAAGTTTTGTACCCCTGGTTATTTAAAGATAAGGGCCATGGGCCAGGGATTTAGCTCAGTGGTTCTAGAGCCTGGCTTGCAAGCCCAAGGTCCTGAGTTCGATCCCCAGTAGCAAAAAAATAAAAAATAAAATAAAATAAATAAAGATAAGGGCCAGCTGAAATCAATTCCTCTTCTTGTCTTCCCTCCTCCAAATCATGGCCATTTAAAAGGTAGGTAGATATTAAATCTCTAGGAACAAAAGGGAGTGTGACTGGCCCAAATGACCCATGAGCACTAAAGTCCCATTGGCGCCACAAGATCTTCATGGCTTGTTTTTCTTCTGAAACCTCCTATTCCAGAGACCACATTCACACAGACAGCCAGGAAACCAGGCTGACCACTTGCTCTTCTGCTCACTCATCTTTTTATTTTGCCCAGTTTATCAAAGATTTTTGGATTTGCTGATGTAAATTTCAGACCCATGAGTTAAGTTTCATTACAAGATTATGTTGCTAAATTTCTGGGTACATTGTGTAAGTACTGTACACATATTATCTTATTGAATCCTTGTGGTACTGATAGCACAGGTGAGGAACCTGACTCTCAGGCAGGTTATCTAATGTCCCCAAGTCCTCCAATCCATGATCAAATACAGTCATATACTCCACAACCATGTTTTAGACAGTGACAGGTCACACGGATGATAGCGGTCTCAGATTACACTGGAGCTGAAAAATTCCTATCACTTAGTGATGTGGTAGCCTTCATCATATCACAGCACAATGTATGTCTCATATGTTTATGGTGATGCCCACGTAAACAAACCTGCTGTACTGCCAGAAGTATAAAAGCATAAGACATACCATAATGTACAATGCTGAATACTGGTTTATATGCTTACTATACTATTTTGATGGTTATTTTAGAGATAATACTTTTATTTATTAAAAAAATGTTTACTGGAAATAGTATGCTGTATTTTCTTGGCAGTAGCCTCACACATGTGGTGTTTACTGTACCTCTTGATTGCATGAGAAAGTCATGTTGAAGCTGGGTGTGGTGATGCATGCCTGTAATCCCAGCATTCTGGGAGACTGAGACAGGAAGATCACAGGTTCAAGCCAAGCCTGGGCAATTCAGTGACTTAAAAGACCCTGTTTCACAATAAAAAATTTTTTTAAAAAGGGTGCTGAGAATATAGCTCAGTTCAATCCCTAGTACCACTACCACCACCCCCCAAAAAAGAAAAAAGAAGTCACTTGGAGTGATTGATGTATACCATCTAGATTCGTGTAAGTACATTCTATGATGCTCACCTAGTGGTGAAACTGCCTAACAACACATTTCTCAGAAAGTGTCCCATCATTAAGGGATATGTGACTATAGGCAATTTAATCTCAGAGTACATCTCTCAATCACTATAGAATCCTACTTCCTTAATCTATACATTCTTTCAGGACTTGGGAACTAAAGGAATTTGAGAAAGGGGCAAGGATACAAACTTTTTAATAAAGTTATTTTAAGGCTCCTGAGTCATCTGTTCATTCATCAGTAATCTGCCCCCACTCAATTCTTTTACTTTATTTTTATTTTTTTGTACTGGGGATCGAACTCAGGATCTTGCACTTCCGAGGCAGGTGGTGGAACCACTGAGGCAAATCCCCGCCCTCCCCACTCAATTCTTCCAGAAGCACACTTTCAATATAAAGTCACAGAATCAGTTCATAGCAGATACCCTGTCCTTGTAAGTGCTCCACGAAGTCACAGGGCAAGTCTCCTATAGTCATGTTTGTATTATAAAACCTACCTTCCTGGTCATAACTGAGTGGGTCTTCAGGTGGGTTAACAAGATTCTTTTCTGCTAGTAATCTGAAATTCAGAAGGAGAGTTGGAGAATTAGTTCCTTATATGGGTAGCACGGCAATGTGTAAATGTAAGAGCTGTAGGGAAGCCATGTTTCTTTACAAAAGCTGAGGGTGGAGGAGAGGAAGGGAGACTGGAGGAGAGAAGAGAGGAAGGAATAGAGAAGAGGGGACAAAGTGGAGAGGACAGAGGATAAGATAAAGAAGAGGAAAAGAACAGAATGTGAAGTAGACACACAGGAAAGTTGAGATCAGATAGAGGATTTTTTTTTTTTTTTTGGTACCGGAGATTGAACTCGGGACCTTGCGCTTGCTAGGCAGGTGGCAGAACCACTGAGCTAAATCCCAGGCCCAAGATAGAGGATTTTGGGGTCAGATTTCCAGTGCATGGATCCAGATCTTTGTGAAGCATCTTTGTTTCCTTAAAAACACTCTCCCTTGTGCTGGGGACATAGCTCAGTGGAAGACTGCTTGCCTAGAGTCCATTAGGTGCTGCCTGGGTTCAATTCTGCACACCTGTATGTAATCATGAGTCAGGAGTGGGGATCTCATGATCAGGTTTGACTTGAGACAGACAAAAAAATTCTCTTGCTCTAGCTGGTTCAAGTTGATCTCTGTATCTTGCAATCAAAATCCTGATTGGGGCTGGGGATTTAGCTCAGTGGTTCCAGCGCCTGCCTTGCAAGTCCAAGGTCCCAAGTTCGATCCCTGGTACCAAAAAAAAAAAAAAAAAGCATGGTAATACAAAATCCTGATTCAATCAGGATGTTTGAATGAATCCTCATTCAAACTCGTACAAGATCCAGGAACTCGGACCTCTCTGTATCTTGCAGTGTCCAAAAGAAAATTTTGTACTCAGGGAATACTTTTGTTCTCCATTCTCTGCTCCAGTGTAGTCCTCCCCATCTTAAGCCTTGATTCAGTCATCTGATTCTATTGCCTGAATCCAGGCTCTTTTCTGTCCACTTTCCATTCTACCTGGAAGTCCACCTTCTACAACTTTATTTTCCCAATGTGTTGTTTTTCAGCTCAAAAACCAAGAGATGTTCCATGACAAAAAAAAAAAGTGTTCTATGGTCAGAAATGCTTGGGAAATCCAGCTTCCCCTTCTCAACATGGAGAAGGAAATACTATATATATATATATATAAAACACTGAAGTTCTGGTTTTAAATTAGCACCACCACCACCACCCAAAAACAAAAGCCCAGCTGAAATTTGATTTAATTTTTTTTTCTTGGTGAAACACTTACAGCACAATGGGAAATATCTATAGAATTAAGATCAAACATCTATTTGGCCCTCTGCCCATGTGCCCCATGCATGAGTTATCTGTTTTAATTTACCATTTCTCCTTCATTACCATTTTTTGAAACTTCTGTAATAAGAAAAAAAGTCTTCCTAGACGTAATGCCATGTTTTCTCTCTTCCCCAGCTCCTGCTTCTGCTTGAATTCTTTAAGCCAGGTCTAGAGACCCAGAGAGTCATCTCTGTTTTGACTTGGTGCTTTACCTTCTTGTTGGCTGTGATTAGCTTTCTTTTTGGATTAGGCACTGGGATAACGTGAGAATGGCCCCAGAAATCACGATTACCTGGGTACTGTCCAATGCAAGCATCTGTTACGAATACAAAGAACAGATCAAAATAGCCTCTGCTTCCTTCCTTTCCCAGACTTGATCTGATTCTTCTCATTCCCATCTCCCCATGTCATACTCCCTTTTCCCCTAGGAAGAAAACACTGATGGATGTAGATATCAAAACTTCCTTCTGGGAGCTAAAAAAAGATAGGGAGGAGAGTCATAGAGTCAAATAATTTCTCCACAGGAGCATATACAGCTTACGTTACTATGCCTAAGAAAGATTCCAGGCCAGCTTGTCTACTGCTGGGCTGATCAGGATAATATTTAGAAGGAGCTGAGATTTGGAAGGAGCCAAAAGCAGGCCAGGATTCTTTTTGTTTGAAATATAAAGGAGAGGGGGAAAGCATCATGAACCAGTGCGTGAGCTGGGTGTGCCTGTAATGCCAGCATTCAGGAGGCCAAAACAGGAGGACTGCTGTGAGTTCAAAGCCAGACTGGGCTACAATAGTGAGTTCAAGGCCAGCCTGGAATACATAGTGAGACCCTGTCTCAAAAACCAAAGACCAAACCAAACCAACCAAAAAATACAAAAACCCAGTGTATATGTGTTGGATACAGGCATGGAGGGTAGGTGTAGGTAGAGGCATGGGCTAAGATTTGGTAGTGTGGGGCAGAGATTTAGCTCAGTGTTTCCACTGCCTGCCTCACAAGCGCAAGGTCTCGAGTTCAATCCCTGGTACCAAAAAAAAAAAAGATTTGGGAGTGTGAGGAAGCCAATGTCTTCGATGGAGCCTCTGGAACATGTCCTTGTGCCAGGTAGAGACATGTGGCCCTGGTCTGTTAAACTTCTGTCCCAGCCAGCCTCACCAGGCCTGCAGCTCAGCAGCAGGCAGTCTATAGCAATGTGGGCCTTGTCCTACCCCAGAGCTGTGCTGGTCTCTGTGGGTTGAAAATATGACATCGTTGCTGCATTGGGAGCCATGGGACTGCCGGCTCCATTCCCCCTTGAACTTGATTTATGCAAGTGCAGAGGCTCCTTACACAATATTGACATCTTTGGAGAGAAGCTATGCTGGCAACTGGCCTGGAGACCGGAATCCCTGTGGGAAAGGAAGGCCTGGGCTCCAGGAGGGTTCAAACTGAAGGAATGATATGATCTGAGATACATTTAAAAAGCATCACTGTGGCTACTGTGTTGAGGGCAAGAGTAGATGGCGACTGTCTAGATGGTGGCTTTGACTAGATGATGGCAGTGAAGAAGGTAAGAAGTGGGTGGATTCTGGGTGTATTTTTTTTTTTTTTGTACAGGGGATTGAACTCAGGACCTCTCACTTGCGAGGCAGGCACTGTGCCACTGAGCTACATCCCCCGCTGGGTGTATTTTGAAGGTAGTATTAATTCTTGCCAGGTCTGATGTGTACATGAGATGACAACAGGAGTCAAGGATGACTAAAGTTTTTTGGCCGGAACAATTGGAAGAACAGAGTTGCCATCACTTGTAATGGAAAGGCTGTTGGTAGGGCAAGTTTGGGGGTAAGAATTCAGTTTTCTGGGCCAGGGATTTAGCTCAGTGGTTCCGGTGCCTGCCTGGCAAGTGCAAGGTTCTGAGTTCGATCCCTGGTAAGAGCGGGGTGGGGGGTGGTGTTCAGTTTTCAACAGCTTGAATTTAGAGATTTGGAGCATATATATGAATGAATCTAAAGTTCAGGGAAGAAGTCTAGAGCTTGAGATATAAATGTAGGGATCATGGGGCTATTGATAGTATTTAAAATCATGTATTTGAATGAGATCATCAAAAAGTGGTAGATGGTGGATAAAGAACAGTAGAGGACTTGGGTCTGAGCCCTGTGCACTTCAGCATTTAGGGGTCAGGGTAAAGGAAAGAAACTAGAAAAAAGAACCCATCAAGGCTTGGAGCTGTGAGGCAGGGCGGAAACCAAGAGAGTAAGATGTCCTGAGGTGAACAAGTGGAGAACTACAAAGGAGGCATTTGTCAGTTATATTAAATGTTCTTAATCAATAAGATGAGAACCACAAATTGGCCTTTGAATTTAGCAGTATGAAAGTCTCAATGACTTTGACAAGAACAATTTCTGTGGTGTAATAGGGATACACATCTGATTTGGGGTTGGTTTAAGAGAGAATTGGAGTAGCCGGGCACGGTGGCACATGCCTGTGATCCCAGCACTTGGGAAGCTGAAGCAGGAGGATTGCTTTGAGTTCGAGGCCAGCCTGGGCTACATAGTAAGTTCAGGGCCAGCCTGAACTACAAAGGGAGACCCTTCCTCAAAAAACCAAAAAAAAAAAAAGAGAGAGAGAGAGAATTGGAGGAGAGGAGTTGTACATAGCAAGCATTAATGACTTAGTTGAGGAGCTTGCTCCAAAGGTGAGCAAACAAACAGGGCAGTAGCTGCCAAGGGAAGTACAGTCATTAAAAGCTTTGTTGTTTTTAGATGTGAGAAATAATGGCATGTTTGTGAGCTGATGGAAACGATCCATTCGAGAGTGACAGTCTATTATAGGGGAGGCAAGGAAGAATTGACAAAGTAATATGCTTGAGTAGGTGAGAAGGATCAGGTTGAAAAGCAGAAGTGGTGGCATTTGTGCATCCAGTTAGTAGGTGAGAATGAGAGTGGGAAGGAAATGTTGAGGGTTTGAGAAAGCAGGACATGAAACCATCATCTAGGAGCAAAGGTGAGTGTGTGCAGGGAAATATGACAGTTGTGCAGCATTAGGGGGCTGCCGGATTTCAGCACCATGAACTTAAAATGAGAGCAAGCAGCATGGCTTATGTTTTTCTTTAGCCATGTTCAACTGTAGGTGTGGAGGTATGGAGGGTGCAGTATGGATCCAAGTCTGTTGTCATGCCAAGCAAGCAGGACAAAGAAAAGGAAAGGCAATGAGTTGGAGTGCAGAGGGGCAGTGTTTATCTAATGAATGAGTATGAAATTTACACTGGGTCAGGAGGGCACTGGAGGCATCAGAGGGGTGGGGAATAGTGACAGGTGGCAGGGACCACAGATTGAAGATTCTGATGTGGTCAAAGGGTGGCTGGGATCAGGCAAGGAGGTGAAATGGAAAGACAGAAAGTTGGAGACAGAGTGGGATATAAGAAATTGAGATTAGGAAGTTGCCTTTGTAGATAATCACAGCTATATTTTGAGAGGAGGAAAGATCACTGGAGGAGAGGAGTTTAAAAGACTGGGAGATTTGGGTGTTGGAAGGCTCATGCACATGTATATTAAAATATTGAAATCATCAGGGTAAGACAGGAGAGGGGAGAGAGAGAGGTGGAGAGTGAGAGAGTAGGGGAGAGAGAGAGAGAGAGAGAGAGAATCAGGATCCAATATAATAGAAAAGTGATCTTCAGGGATCTGGAGAAGACAGTAGTGATTTCTATAATCTGATGACATGAGATCCAATGTGGGGAGCAAGGGTTTAAGGAGAAATGGGGAGGTACTTCTGAGAGTGACAATGAGGAGTAAGAAGAACACCTGTCTCTTCTCTAGGTCTAGGGGCAGGGGATTTAACTCAGTGGTTTCGCTGCCTGCTGCGCAAGCGCAAGGACCCGAGTTCAATCCCCAGTACCTCAAAAAAAAAAAATAAAATTTCTCTAGGTCTAGCAGTAAAACTATGAGAGAAAAATAGCCTGTTTGAGAAGGCTGTGGGGCAAGTAGTGATTCAGGGGAGGCCGGGTGTCCCCAAGGAAAGAAAGAAAGAGAGTGCTCAGAGAATTGGTTGAGGATCAAGAAGATTTTACTAACCATGGATTATGAACTCCACATGCATGGAGGAAAGAGTTTCAGGGCTGGGAAAGGGGAGACAGCCACAGAATAAGGGAAAAGGCAGAATCTCATGGGGATTAGTAGGTTGGAGATGAGGTGAGCTGGGAGCCAGGTTGAGCTTAGGACTGGCATAAGCA